TGTCAATTTACAGAACTCAACTAGAGTTGAGGTCGATCCCACAGAGAATTTCTTTACAGATAAAGTTTCACATCGCATTTACTCAATTGTTGTTACTATTTCCTAAACGATTAACAAGGAAAGTAAAATTGGGTTTAATTGAAAAGTATTCTATCAGCAAGTACTTCCAGTCAAAACTTAGTTACACGGTTCACAAAAGATCTCGTTGTAAGTTGATTCAATCAATTTAAAGAAACCAGGTTTTGTGTTCACTATGACATCGACTATAACGCTCTTCCATAAATTGAGTGTCAAGTAAATCAACGTTTACAGACTCTTTGCGACTTAAATAAATCTAACGCTTCTCAGCCTAATTAGATAATATTCACTCTAATTCTCTCGAACTTAAACTGTTATCGATATTGGACTTCGCTTAATTTGATACGGTGTTAAAGATCCCTTCTCTCGAAATCCGACTTTAACTCCAATTCATAAACTTAGTTTAGCTTTTTCCCAACTGATGCTTTTCTCTCGAACAAACACCAAATAAAGGCCTGTCTAAAGCGTGCACTCAATAGCCTAAAATGATAATGAAAGCTGTAAACTACAAGTTGTAAACAAAGATTGCCTTTTTACTCATTTTACGGAATCGCAGCTAGAATATCATCATAGATCCCACACATCCAGTCATGACGTTTAGCAACTCATGTTCTTATGCAGAGAATCAATAATAGATAATGAAAACATATTAAGAATCACTTACAAAAATAATCGGTAAATCAACAACCACTTGATAATTTCAAGATCGAAATGAACAACGTCCCACTGATGACAATAATTTGAATCCAAAATCTAAAATTCAAGTTTTCTTTTCTATTCCTCGTTGTGAAAACGTCAGATCATCCCCAATGCCTCGCAAAACGACCTAAAGTAATTCAAAATAGAATGTTTAAAATGAGTCCTAATCAAGTTAGGACTGAGTTGTCGGGCCTTGTCACGGCCACTACCACGACCCGTCAAGGGATTCACAGACCGTGAAGCCCTCCGTGGTCTTGCCTTGGATCTTCCCCAAAGTGGTTCTTCAAACTTGGTCACTGGAAAATGTACCACGAGAGACACCACGGTCCGTAGTGAGTACCACGGCCCGTGAAGTCACCCGTGGTCTTCACTTTGTTTTCAAACTTTCTTTCAACTCTTTCTTGCTTTTATACTGGTTCAGCTTCACGGTAGGTACCACGGTTCGTGGTAATAACAACGGCCCGTATAAACCTCCGTGATGTTGACTTGAATTCTTGCTCTTCATCTTCTCAAGGCCCAGTTTTGGCACTCTTTCACGAGCTCAACCATGGACCGTAACAAAGTTAACGGTTCGTGAAGTTGGCCGTGAACTTCACTTGGGCCAACATCAGTTCTGTTTCTTTTTCTGTACAACCCAGATTCTGCCTACACATTTAACAAACCCATCAAATAATCCCAAAATATCACTTAATTCCAGTATTAGTTCATAGTTATTAAGCATCAAATGTGCCACGATTTCACGGCACATCAACACCCTCAACTTAGAACCATTACTTGTCCTTAAGTGATGAGAAAACAAACAATTACAATCAGCCCTCAATTCATTTCCAGATTTATGACACTACGCAGCAACTATTTCAAGTATAATTTGTATCCCAAACCTCTAAATCTAACATGTAAGGATCAATACATGACATCTCATTACTCATAGTCAATCATGCTTATACCTGCAAATTATCAGCTTACACAATCTACTTTCAAATGCAACCACTGTGTCCTCACACCAAAGAAGTCCCTCGCTCATATTGGTAGGGACTGAATACTACTCTCACGCTCTCAATGAACTTCTAACATTAACAACAAACTATCATAGGCTTTCCCTTGCTTTCTACACTTTCTCTTTCAAACACCCGGAATAGGATCACTGTAGGACTTTATTTGCTTGTAACATAGGCTTGGGGCTAGGGAATGGATATTTGGTTTCGTGAGTGACTAATTCCTTGGTTTCCCCAAAGTTTCGTTTTCACACACTTTTCTGAGTGATTTCTCTTTTTCTTTATTTCATCCCGACCCAGTAGATATCATTTTCTATTCTTTTTTTTTCTTTTTTTTTTTTACACATTCAGCTCACTGGTTGAACCTTCTTTTTCCCTTTTTCTTTCTGTTCGGATTGCAATCACCCTCAACTTAGGCTTTTGGCCTGAGTTGTGATATCGTATTCCTTCGGAGAACCAAAGGATTTGATATATGTTGGGTAAGAACAAAGACTGATTTAAGGCTCAAATTGGGTTCAAGTGATAGCTTTTCATTTTGGTTCTTTTTTTTTTTTTTTTTAACTGGTTTAACAAAAATGGCCTACTGATCCTTTCCTATCCGGTTATTTTCAGATTCAAGCAAGACTACTTAGGCAAGTTCTAGTTTCTGCTCCTAGTATTAGACTTCAATCAAAACTTACTCACACACTACACAGGATTACATTTTTTAATTTCTTGGTTCACCAATTAATTGGTCAGATTAGCCACTTTCAACATATCAGTATCTAAGATGTCATCTAAAGATCCTAACAGTCAAACTCAGATTTAGGTCTTCAATATTTACAGAGTAGCTGCTGCACAGCTCAATACATAAAACACCTACAACAGTAATACAAAGAGACAACCTCCATTTTTCTAACAGTTATGGCTCGCTGCTGACCACCCTCTCCCCAAATAAAAAGGACTTTGTCCTCAAAGTCGAGATAAAACAATCAAAAACACAGGCTATGAGGAGGGGTCATACTTGCGGCGCTCTAGACGCCGGTCGTCGTATCAGCTTTGGTACCCTTATCAATGGGTGCACTCTCAGGTCTGGGGACATGATCAGTGTGGTTTTCATTAGTCGAAGCAGGTTCACCACTACCAGAAGCTCCAACTAACGTTGCATCTCGTTGTTGCTGGTCAAGGGCTTCCTTCTCCCTAACTTCCCTCTTTGATGCTCTACGAGCTCTCTTTTCTTGCCTTCTTGCCTCTCTAGCGGAGTCAGTGGGGGTCTCCTCATCAAGTTCTCCAGCTATGTGTTTTCTCTTGCCGGATTTACTTGTAGGGGGTGCACCCCAAAGATCATCGAGTGTTTGAGTGGAGGGTGCCTGACTTAACATTTGCATCAACGACTCTGGCATGACCGGAGTGGGCACCTGTGCTGGCTTTTCAGCCAGCTTAGCAATTTGAGTGCACAATTCTGCCAACTGGGTTCTGAACTCTTCAGTATCTGCTGAACCGGTAGCCTGGAAGCGATCCTGAACAAGGTTCTCCAAACCATCCACTCTGTTATTTAAGAGTGATAGCTCCGTCCTCTTCTCATCTTTGATCTCCTTTTTCACAGCTAATACCTTTGTCTCTATCAGCTGGGGCATCCGGAGCACAATTTGGTCGACCAATGTCTTGGTCTGGCGCTGATCTGCAACCAATTTCTCAAGAAAAAGCATAGGGATAGTGATAAAGGTACCTGGAGTCTGGGAGGCTGAAGCTGGAGGTGGTGGTGCCTCTGTGGACGGTTGTGATGACTCTCCCTGTTCTGGATCTCTACTTGCCTGGAAGATATCAAGTGGGACATGTGGAACAACAACTAAAGTACCTACAGCGGCAGATTTCGCGCCAAAGAGATAGTTCGCGACATCCTTGATTTTTGAAACCTGGGTTAGTCTGAATGTTTCACCCCATCTGTCAACTAGGCTGTTCGGAGGAATATTCGCTCCTCGACATAATTTCCCTATCAGACAGGGAAAAGGAAGTGCAGCTCTCTCATTTAGCGCCCTGTCTCTCATCTCGATTGCTATTATCCGTCTTGCATTGACCGGGTAACCGACCATAAGACATGCTACTAACGAGGCCAGGGAAGGGGACAAAGTGTTATCATTAGCTGTTGGTCTCAATTGGGCTTGGACAACAGCCCACCAAACCTTGGCCGGGAAAGATAGCGAAGCTTTAGTGATAAGTGTTGAAGTTGTGGTGACCCAACCTGCATTTTCCCCATCTATGGCAATTTGCTTCGCAATCTAGCGTAAAACCCTTTCTCGAGAAGTTTGATCTTCCATTGTAGCATCACTGGTGACCTCATGATGTTTGCCCTCGAAAAGGCCAACTGAAACGGGTGCAGAGTATTCTGGGCCGTACAACATTCTGTTAATCGACGCCTCAGAAATATCTATTGATTTGCCCCTACTATGATTGAGTTAAGTGGATCCCAGGTACTAGCCATGTCTTTCTGTCCACGCTTCGTGGTCTCTGTATCCGCAGCAAAATTCATCAATGTAGCTGCATAAGAGGAATAAAATTCTCTGGTCAGGTGGCTAGAGTATTCACCAGGTGCATTGTCCATCCAATCGAACTGATGGAGCTGAAATATCCGATAGATGTCCGAGAATGCTTTGACATCAGCTACCACCACCCTAGTCTCAGACATAATTGCTTGATTCTTGATGCCCCCAGTTTTATTCACAATACCATTGTCGAAGAACTCTTTAGACCTGTTGACAGTCCACATGGAGCGATAACAAGCAATCAGTTGTGGTCTCAATGTAGGGTTAGGTTCCTGAGCGTTCACATACATCACCATGGTATCATCATCGGTGATTTCCTCCTCATCCTCTCTATTAACTGTTTCCTCTCGTACTCCAGTTTCAGCTTCTATGGTAGCCACAGGTGGAGAAGTACTTGTGTCGGCCTGAGAACCGCCGTCAGATTCAGCACTGTCCCCCGAGTCATCTGCAGATTGGTTACCAGCAGCAGTATCAGTTGGAATTCCCGAGTTTTGCCCATTCTCGGAACTACTACTTCTCTTTCCAGATTGAGGAGGAGAGTCCTGGAGAATAGCTCTCCTAGCCAATGATCTAGTAGCCCGAGGCGAGTGATCTTCAGGTGTAACATTTATTTGCACCTCAGACCCACTCGCTTCGGAGTCGCCATGACCCTCTGATTGTGAAGCGGTGACAGGAGCAGGTTTGTTAGCATTCTTTCTTCTGGGACTCATTGTACCTGAGAAGCAAAACACCAATTAAGTACAATCATTAATAAAATGACAAACTAGCGGGTACTCAGACTTCCCCTATGTAATATCATCGTGACGCCTTGCCTTAAGAATGTCGTCACCCAATCTATCATCGGGAAGGGCAACAGAATCACAATACTAACAAAAACTAAATACCTAAAAATACACACAAGGGAACACTACGAGCACTTTTTATACGTCCAAACTTACACTCCAAATAATTTGGAGTGTAAATGGTCGTTGTCAATTTACAGAACTCAACTAGAGTTGAGGTCGATCCCACAGAGAATTTCTTTACAAATAAAGTTTCACTATCGCATTTACTCAATTGTCGTTACTATTTCCTAAATGATTAACAAGGAAAGTAAAATTGGGTTTAATTGAAAAGTATTCTATCAGCAAGTACCTCCAGTCAAAACTTAGTTACACGGTTCACAAAAGATCTCGTTGTAAGTTGATTCAATCAATTTAAAGAAACCAGGTTTTGTGTTCACTATGACATTGATTATAACGCTCTTCCGTAAAATTGAGTGTCAAGTAAATCAATGTTTACAGACTCTTTGCGACTTAAATAAATCTAACGCTTCTCAGCCTAATTAGATAATATTCACTCTAATTCTCTCGAACTTAAAGTGTTATCGATATTGGACTTCGCTTAATTTGATACAGTGTTAAAAGATCCCTTCTCTCGAAATCCGACTTTAACTCCAATTCGTAAACTTAGTTTAGCTTTTTCCTAACTGATGCTTTTCTCTCGAACAAACACCAGATACAGGCCTGTCTAAAGCGTGCACTCAATAGCCTAAAATGATAATGAAAGTTGTAAACTACAAGTTGTAAACAAAAATTGCCTTTTTACTCATTTTACGGAATCGCAGCTAGAATATCATCATAGATTCCACACACCCAGTCGTGACGTTTAGCAACTCATGTTCTTATGCAGAGAATCAATAATAGATATTGAAAACATATTAAGAATCACTTACAAAAATAATTGGTAAATCAACAACCACTTGATAATTTCAAGATCGAAATGAACAACGTCCCACCGATGACAATAATTTGAATCCAAAATCTAAAAATCAAGTTTTCTTTTCTGTTCCTCGTTGTGAAAACGCCAGATCATCCCCAATGCCTCGCAAAACGACCTAAAGTAATTCAAAATAGAATGTTTAAAATGAGTCCTAATCAAGTTAGGACTGAGTTGTCGAGCCTTGTCACGGCCACTACCACGACCCGTCAAGGGATTCACGGACCGTGAAGCCCTCTGTGGTCTTGCCTTGGATCTTCCCCATAGTGGGTCTTCAAACTTGGTCACTGGAAAATGTACCACGAGAGACACCACGGTCCGTAGTGAGTACCACGGCCCGTGAAGTCACCCATGGTCTTCACTTTGTTTTCAAACTTTCTTTCAACTCTTTCTTGCTTTTATACTGGTTCAGCTTCACGGTAGGTACCATGGTTCGTGGTAATAACAACGGCCCATATAAACCTTCGTGATCTTCACTTGAATTCTTTCTATTCATCTTCTCAAGGCCCAGTTCTGGCCCTCTTTCACAAGCTCAACCACGGACCGTAACAAAGTTAACGGTTCATGAAGTTGGCCGTGAACTTCACTTGGGCCAACATCAGTTCTTCTTATTTTTCTGTACAACCCAAATTCTGCCTACACATTTAACAAACCCATCAAATAATCCCAAAATATCATGTAATTCCAGTATTAGTTCATAGTTATTAAGCATCAAATGTGCCATGATTTCGCGGCACATCAAGTTACTTAAAGATTATGATGTCACCATTTAATATCATCCGGGTAAGGCTAATGTGGTGGCAGACGCTTTAAGCCGAAAGGCGGTAAGTATGAGTAGTCTAGCTTGTTTGGGTTTATCCAAGCGACCTTTGGCCAAGGAGATTCTTTTGAGTCTAAGTTCATGCAATCGGGCATCTCAGAGAAAGGTAGGGTTATTGGCTAGCATTAAGGTTAGACCCACATTCATTGAGGAAATTAATGCCAAACAGTTTGAGATGAGAATTTGAATGAGCTTCGAAAAAAGATAGTGTATAGTAAGGCACAAGATATAGTTCTTGATGCGGAAGGAGTGCTTAGTTTTAAGGGGAGAATTTATGTTCCCTGAGTGGATGACTTGATTCAGAAGATGTTGACAGAATCCCACGGTTCGCGGTATTCCATTCATCTAGGTGTGACCAAGATGTACCGAGATTTGAAGTGACTTTATTGGTGGCTTAGCATGAAGAAAGACATAGTTGAGTTTGTGGCTAAGTGCCAAAACTGTCAGTAGGTAAAGCATGAGCATCAAAGACCTGCAGGTTTGCTTCAGAGAATGCCAATTCCGGAATCGAAGTGGGAAAGGATAGCTATGGATTTCATGGTTGGTCTCACCAAGACTTTGGGGAAGTTTGATTCTATTTGGGTAGTGGTTGACAGATTGACTAAGTCAGCCCATTTTATTCCAGTCAGAATAGACTATAATGCGCAATAGTTGGCTAAGGTATATGTGAAGGAGATAGTGAGACTGCATGGGGTGCCCCTTTCTATCATCTCAGACCGTGGTACGCAGTTCACATCCAAGTTTTAGGGGAATTGCATGATGAGTTGGGCACTCAACTCACTTTTAGTATAGCTTTCCATCCACAGACGGACGGGTAGTCAGAGAGAACAATTCAAGTGTTAGAGGACATGCTAAGAGCATGTGTGATTGACATTGGAGGGCATTGGGATAAGTTCCTACTGTTGTGTGAGTTCTCCTATAATAACAGCTACCACTCCAGCATAGACATGGCACCGTTTGAGGCACTTTATGGGAGGGGTTGTAGATCACCCATAGAGTGGTTTGAGGCTGGACATGTGAAACCTTTGGGGTTGACTTTATCACGACCCGAGTCTAGACCCCGGATGCGACACGGCGTACTCGACCCCGAAGGGGTCTTATACAAGCCTCATAGCATTCATTCATTGCATAGGTAATAGAAATAGTACGGAATTAAAACCAAACTATCAAAATGCTCATTTAACAATCTTTCAAAAGACACAGCGGAAGTCTAAGTCTTACATGGCCATCTTAACAATGTACTTGAAACTAAAGTAGGGACACAGCCCTTTACCATCGAAGAGACTAGAATTGTCTATTACATGAACAAAAAGGAAACATAAAAGTTCTTGTCCTCGAATCCATGAGGACATACCAAGTCTTGGAGGAAACTCTATCCAAGCACTTCAATCCTAACTAGAATCAATCACTTGCCGGAACCTACACTTGTAGTAAAAGTAGGAGAAATATGGGTTAGCACACAAAAATGTACTAAGTATGATGACCATGCAAAAACATGCTTAAAAAGGACATTTTGTTTGAAAGTCATGCTTTTTATGCCATTTTAGTAAAACTTCATGAACATTGAATAAAAGGGGCATAATATAAGTCACAACCAACATACAAGTCACATTTTAACATTTGAACAAAATCAACATATAAACCTTTACCTTCACCTTAAGTCATCACCTCAAGTCACCCTCAAGCTATACCTTGTGCAATGTATGGATAGCGTCCCATACCACCACCCACACTAAGGTACCACCTTAAGGTCACCAAAAGTGAACTTACCATTCATCATTTCCACCTTTACACAATAAAGCATATAAGAGACTTAAACATCACATGAATCACAGCATCACCTTAAGACCAACATCTAAGACAACTCTAAGTCATACTTATGCAATGTGCAAGTAGCATCCCATACTACTATTCACACTAAGTACTCATTTGAAGTCACTCTAGACATGGCACATTCATATACAACAAGCCATGACAAGGAAGTAACTCATAATACAATCCAATTATAGCATGTATCTTTACACTTAAGCATATAAGCATTTAAGTCAACCTTCTTCATTAACTTCATTTAGGACACATTCATTCATTAGTCATTAAGACTTAGAGAACTCACTATGACCCTCTCAAAGCCTACTCGTGCAATGCATGGATGGCATCCCATACTGCCACCCACACTTCATAGAACTCCTCAAGAAACCATAATGCACATCTCACATGATGGGAATAAGCGTTTAACCAACATAGACCATGAGAGCTAAATCATGGAATCCGGTGTCATGAAACCCCACACCATAAGAGGTGGTCTACTTGCCTAAGGAAGACCGGTTCATCTAGCTTATGTGGATCCACTAGCTAGGACCTATGAGGGATCATAGTTATGGGATATGAAAGATGTTCATTGAGATCCGACCTAACGTTGGGAGAACCTCCATCTTACCATATCCTCTCGGTGCTTTGCCTACATTCCCATAGAGTAGTTTCAACATGTATGGGTTCCATGCGAGGACCATTGAATTTTCATATCTACTTGTTATTGAGAATGTGTAATTGTACACTACTCCTAAAATGATAACCAATGTGTATATATGTTATGTACATGTCATGTTTACTATGTTGTGACTGCTTATATATGTTTCGCTTACTGGAATAGTCGCGTGATCCTACCAGTACATTGTGGTTGTGTACTGATATTGTACCTGCTCGTTCTTTGTTAAGTTTAGGACACCTTTAGGCGGCTATTGATAAACCTCAGCTAGGAGATCAGTGATTGAGACTGAATTTCGAGGGTGAGCCAGTTTTTTCAGGCTGCCATAGAGTCCTTCATTTTGTTTAGTCCATTTTCTTCGGACTTAGACTAGTACTTTAGAAATTAGTTTGTTCAGTTTCGGGGTTACCTCCCCCTGTTTTAGACTTGTCGTTGTTAAAGTTTTGGTACATTTACTTTCAGTTTCTAGGGGTTGTTTTCCGCATATGTTTGGTGGTTGTTTGTTAACTTTCGATGTTTATGGGAACTCCATTTTCTTTAGACATTTAAACATACTTCTGTATCTTTAGATACCTATCTTTTCGTTAAGTTATGTATTTGGGTTGTAGTAGTGGTTCTCCCACCGGAGGGTAAGTGTGAGTGCCAATCACGACGGTCTGGGTCGTGACAACTTCCCTAATCACATGATCACCGAAATAATCCCCAACTATCAAGAGTGAAAAGAGTTCATCAGAAGAAGCCTAATGGTACCTATATTGATAGGATTCGAAATCGAGGATAAAATAGTCCAAAAAATCTCTTTGGAATTGAGAAGGGTAAAATTATAATTTTATTTGAAAAATATATATTATAAGTAAAAAGGAATTCGTGGTTGAAAATCCCATTAAAATCGAGCAAGAAACGAGTTTCAAATCAAGAAAATACCATTTTTTCCAACTTGGCGGAAAGCCCTAAAACCCACATTTGAAATGCGGTTAAAAACATAACAAAAAAATCAAAAAAACTTCTTCAAAATTTGTTTACCCACAATACAAGGATCTAAATCTCGAAAATTAATGAAAACCCATTCCTAATCGACCTTCAAATCAATAATTTGATTTCTTGACCTTGGGGTTTAACATCTCCAGTTTGTGGATAGAAATCATGTAATATGAAAAGGATATTCTCGGCAAAAGAGTAAAATAGTGTTAGAAATACATACTGAATGATTATGAAATAAAAACGCATTAAAAATTGTCTCAAATTGATCTTTCTAGCTCCCAAAATGTCAAAAATATGAAATGAGTTTAGATAAATATTTAAATCAGCGATTTCAACACTAAAATCAATTTTATGTCGCTAAAAATGTGCACCAGCAACCTTTAATAAATCTTTTTGACCCTCGAAACTCATCTGGAACCCTATAAACACAAACCAATAGTGAAAGTTCATCATAAAACATATTTTGTAACCAATGGAATCATCATATTTTTTAAAAAGAATATATTTATGACCGAAATACCTACTCGGAACCCATTTAGGCCAAAAGATTCAACTTTTTACCTAAATATCCAAATCACAACTTAAGGTCTCAGGACTCTAACCGATCTTACTACTAGACCAAACTCGCCGTTCCAGACTCAATGAAACTAATAGAATCCCCATCTGATGCTTGGATCACGAAATATTGATTAAAGTAAACCATTTCAATATAACTCAACTCAAAAGGCTCAAATCCACCAAAATCTCACTATGGGGGCTACAATAACTATTATCACAACACAAAATAAACATGAAACACTGAGGGAAGGGAAAAATGATCATTTCCCATATAAAAGTAATTTCTCAAGAAATGAGACATTATACTCATACCCTTGAGACTAACAACCCTCTTTCGATTTTATTTTTAAAAATATTTATTATGTATCATTTTCTTATTTGATGAAATAAAAACCCATCTCTATTAGATTTCCCCGCATAATTTATCCAAGTTTAAAAAAACAAATATACCTTTCCAAGATCTCACAAGTATTTTAATGGAAAATCTAATAATTTTTTGTATTTGTTGTAGCTTTTTTTTAAAAAAAAAGAAGAAGTTTATTTTTGGGTCGTAAAGAAGAATATGTCGACTTGGATAAATTATGGAGAAAAATCTTTTAAAACTTCTTTAAAAAATCTTAAGGATCAAAGTGATTTATTAATATCGTATTAGTTTTCTTCATATTTAATGAAATTTGAATATATTTCTTCATTTTTACTATAGCATTAATAAAATTAAAAACATACTTTTTGGATAAAATTACAACATATACAAAAAAAAAACTTAGTTTTTTTAAAAAAAGTTCTTTTTAGATTTTGTCTTCCTAATTTATCCTAACCAAAATAATATATGCAGAGATTACTTTTTAGATTTTGAAAAAAAATCTAGTAAAGGTGGAGTATTTATTCCATCTAATAATAAAATGACACATGATAAATTTAAAAGGCAAAATAAAGACATGATTGTTAGTTTCAAGTGAATAAGTGAGTCAAAAAGGTGAATGTAAGGATATTTTTAGGGGTAACTTACAATAATTTCACTAGTTTAAGAGTTAATTACTTAGCTACATGCACTACAAAAAAAACTGTGTTTAGCGACAAGCAAAATCGGTCGCTAAATAGATTAGTTTGTCGCTATTTTGGTTTAGCGACGGAATAGCGACAAAATATTGTTCGTCTCTATATTGCGCGTAGCTAACCATTTAGCGACGAAAAAATTGAATCCGTCCCAAACTGAGCGACGGATTTGCGACGAAAGTTATCCGTTGGCAAGATTAGCAACGGAAAAATCTGTCACTATTTTTGTAATTTATGTCGTTGTTCTTGTAACTTATTTCGTCGTCTGAACATATTGGCGACCAAATTATTGTCGCTAATTTCGTCACCAATTTCTTTAGCGACAAAAAAATCCATCGTGTATTTTAAATTTTATCCCTCATTTTATTTATTATTTCATCGTTTCATCATATAGGGCGACCAAATATTTTGTTGCTAATTTCATCTCCATTCATTTAGCGACGAAAATAATTTGTCACAAATCTATCAATATATTTTTATTTGTGTAATTAAATACACATTTCAACACAT